CAGCACTCTCCGCCCGTGGTTCTTGTGCTTGGCGGCTTGGCAAGGGGGAAAATACTGCTTACACCTGCGGCAGTTTTGGCACTTCGAAAGCCATTCCCGCCAGAGCAGACACAGATCGCGAATTGCATTCCTGGAAAGTATTTTTTTGCCCTGTGGACTTTTGGGTTTTTTTTTGCTGGCCGCGAATCTTCTCAAGGGCTTTGGCAGCACTCTCCCCCCGTGATTCTTGTGCTCGGTGGCTTGGCAAGGGGGAAAGTTTGCTTACACCGGCGGCAGTTTTGGCACCCCGAAAGCCACTCCCGCCAGAGCAGATACAGATCGCGAATTGCATTCCTGGAAAGCAGTTTTTCGCCCTGTGGACTTTTGGGTTGTTTTTCTGCTGGCCGTGAATCTTCTCAAGGGCTTTGGCAGCACTCTCCCCTCGTGATTCTTGTGCTTGGCGGGTTGGCAAGGGGGAAAGTTTGCTTACACCTGCGGCAGTTTTGGCACCCCGAAAGCCATCCCCGCCAGAGCAGATACAGATCGCGAATTACATTCCTGGAAAGCATTTTTTTGCCTTGTTGCTTTTTGGGTTTTTTTTTTGCTGGCTGCGAATCTTCTCCAGGGCTTTGGCAGCACTCTCCGCCCGTGGTTCTTGTGCTTGGCGCCTTGGCAAGGGGGAAAGTTTGCTTACACCTGCGGCAGTTTTGGCACCCCGAAAGCCATTCCCACCAGAGCAGATACAGATCGCGAATTGCATTCCTGCAAAGCATTTTCTCGCCCTGTAGACTTTTGGGTTTTTTTTTGCTGGCCGCGAATCTTCTCAAGGGCTTCGGCTGCACTCTCCCCCCGTGATTCTTGTGCTTGGCGGCTTGGCAAGAGGGAAAGTTTGCTTACACCGGCGGCAGTTTTGGCACCCCGAAAGCCATTCCCGCCAGAGCAGATACAGATCGCGAATTGCATTCCTGGAAAACATTTTTTTGCCCTGTGGACTTTTGGGTGTTTTTCTGTTGGCCGCGAATCTTCTCAAGGGCTTTGGCAGCACTCTCCCCCCGTGATTCTTGTGCTCGGTGGCTTGGCAAGGGGGAAAGTTTGCTTACACCTGCGGCAGTTTTGGCACCCCGAAAGCCATTTCCGCCAGAGCAGATACAGATCGCGAATTGCATTCCTGGAAAGCATTTTTTCGCCCTGTGGCCTTTTGGGTTTTTTTTTGCTGGCCGCGAATCTTCTCAAGGGCTTTGGCAGCACTCTCCCCCCGTGATTCTTGTGCTTGGCGGCTCGGCAAGGAGGAAAATTTGCTTACACCTGCGGCAGTTTTGGCACCCCGAAAGCCATTTCCGCCAGAGCAGATACAGAGTGGGGGTTGCATTCCTGGAAAGCATTTTTTCGCTCTGTGGCCTTTTGGGATTTTGTTTGGCTGGCCGCGAATCTTCTCAAGGGCTTTGGCAGCACTCTCCGCCCGTGGTTCTTGTGCTTGGCGGCTTGGCAAGGGGGAAAATACTGCTTACACCTGCGGCAGTTTTGGCACTTCGAAAGCCATTTCCGCCAGAGCAGATACAGAGCGGGGGTTTCATTCCTGGAAAGCGTTTTTTCGTCCTGTGGCCTTTTGGGGTTTTTTTTGCTGGCCGCGAATTTTCTCAAGAGCTTTGGAAACGCTTTCCCCCCGTGGTTCTTGTGCTTGGCGGCTTGGCAAGACGGGAAGTTTGCGTACACCGGCGGCAGTTTTGGCACGCCGGGAGCCACATTCGCCAAAGCAGATACAGAGCGGGGCTTGCATTCCTGGAATGCATTTTTTCGCTTTGTGGCCTTTTCGGATTTTTTTTGCTGACCGCGAATCTTCTCAAGGACTTTGGCAGCGCTCTCCCCCCGTGATTCTTGCGCCAGGCGGCTTTGCAAGGGCGAAAGTTTGCTTACACCGGCGGCAGTTTTGGCACCCCGGGAGCCAGATCCGCCAGAGCAGATACAGAGTGGGAATTGCATTCCTGGAAAACATTTTTTTGCCCTGTGGACTTTTGGGTGTTTTTCTGTTGGCCGCGAATCTTCTCAAGGGCTTTGGCAGCACTCTCCCCCCGTGATTCTTGTGCTCGGTGGCTTGGCAAGGGGGAAAGTTTGCTTGCGGCGGCAGCCTGTTTGGCACCCCGGGAGCCATTTCCGCCAGAGCAGATACAGAGCGGGAATTGCATGCCTGGAAGGGATTTCTTTGCCCTGTGGCCTTTTGGGTTTTTTTTTGCTGGCCGCGAATTTTCTCCAGGGCTTTGGCAACGCTCTCCCCCCGTGATTCTTGTGCTTGGCGGCTCGGCAAGGGGGAAAGTTTGCTTACACCTGCGGCAGTTTTGGCACCCCGAAAGCCATTTCCGCCAGAGCAGATACAGATCGCGAATTGCATTCCTGGAAAGCATTTTTTTGCCTTGTTGCTTTTTGGATTTTTTTTTTGCTGGCCTGCGCGTGTTTGACTTGCGTCCCCGTATTGACTAGAGCTAGTAAATATCTGCATCAACACAAATCGCAACAGGTTTGAGGAACTTATCTACGACATGCTCAACCACGATTTTCTGTTCTACGGCATGAATCTCCCGGACGGCGTATCTTGCGAAAAAACGTCCCCACTTCCCCAGAGAAGTAGTTGTCATGCAAATCTCCATAAGCCTCAAACGTTTCTCATTCGCAGGAGCCCCATGAGGAGCATTCTTTACATGCTGTCTGGCAGTTTGTTATGCTAGAATCATGAGAAGGAGATCGGTTACGGTTTGTCATGCAGCTACAAAATGACTACGGTAAGCAAACGCCAGTACTTAAGTACGTACACTGCAGCAGGTGCGAGTCCAAGCTTGTCATGCGCGACAGCCTAAAGATCATACTGGTTTGTACTACAGTAATACACCAATCGCCATCTTTACTCTGAATTGCTGGGGACGTTTTTACTCAGGATACGGCGCCCTCCAGTGTGTCCCCGGCGGCAAGCTGACCCGAGAGTTTAACTACCCCGACCTGGAGCAGCGGAAGAGCTTGGGCAACGGTGGGGCGATTGCGTATCTAACGCAAAATGTGTCTGGACGTCTGGAATAAGATGCAGACTTGTAATGCGCATTTCGGATCACACAAAGACAAAAAAAAATCTCTTTCGTGCATGGGCTCTGCGATATAACTGGCCCAATTCTTGCCAACAAAGTGGTAGTACTAGGAATTCTTGCATGCAAGACTTTCTACTTGACCACGCAAAAAGTATAGCATGACAAACGTCTGCACTCATCCAGACGGCGATGTCCAGGGATATTTGCAATGCATATCGTGCCTGAGGTGTCGATTAACAGTCCGACCAACGCGCTGTGAAAAAGTAAAAAAATGCACTAGGGTAACTAAAACGTCTAGTTGTAAGCACGATTTTTTTTTCAGAACGTCTCAGAGTTTGTTGTCAGGATGTCCTCGCCCGTGGCGCTCACAAGTAGCGGCACTGGACGACTTTTTCTTGACTTCTGGCTATTTGGAAGTTGATCTTGATGCATGCCAAATTTTTGTTGAACTTTTACATCTTTACGGACAAGTTTGTTTCTCCCCCTTGTCGTGCCGGGAGAGCATGACAAAGGAGCAAAACTGTAACTAGTACAGGAGACGAGGGCAAGACGATACTCCTCGATCAACAATAAAATCACCCACCATGATGTTATGTATTTAGTACAGCGAAAAATCTTGAGGTACTACCGAAACCTGATTACTTTGCTCGATGTTGAATAAATCTTACACGATTTTTTTAATTTTAGACAAAGGCACAAACAAGCGCCCAGGAGGTTCGCCTTCTTGGGTGCAACCTACTACACTTTACCACTTTCATCATTTTCACAGCAACGTAATCCAGCAATCAATTATGAGTATGAGTATCCCTTTGTTCTCAGCAAGACGAAAAAAGGAGTTTCTTGCATTGCCGAGTTATCCTTGTGATCCTGCTGGAGGCAACAAGCTATGGAAAAGTACTTCTTCGATCAGGGGTTTTAGTTTTTACTTTTGGAATATTTTGATCTTGGGACCGAAAAACCAAAACGAAAGAAAAGTGGGAGGAATAGACTTCAGTATTGTGACCACAAGAACTTCTTGTGACCTCGCCCCGGTCGTAGCAAAAAGTGTTCTTTACTCATGCCGCGCATTTTGATTTTTCCTCGAGAGAAACCTGCGTCCTTGAGCAGCAAATAAAAAGCGCCTTTCTTTATCATGCAAGCAAAAACGCTGTAAAAGTGCGTGCTGGGCGGAAGCAGAGCACGACAAGAAAATGCGAAGAGAGACGACGAGCGAGGGAAAAGTTTCTGACTGATATTAATATCGGTGTTTTTACATTATCCTTCGCAGTTTCTGCAACATTGCAGATCTTGCTCCAATATGCCTATGGTGCGCATCTCGCATCCCAAATCATTCCACAACAAAAACAGGAAGGAAGACGGAAGACGAACATACATATAGGAACGCTCCCCCAAGAGCAGCAAGGTAGTCCTAAACACTCTAAAAAAAGCGAAAATGGGACGGTTGTGAATACTTTTCGCAGCTGGTTTATTGATTATCTACCGAAGTTGAAGTAGTGGTAAAGTTTTTGCGAAGAAGTTGAACGAAGTGCTTTAGTAGAAGAAGTCGTGCGTTGGTTTCGCAGAACATTTACACTTCTTAACTCGAGGACACCAGGCGAAAAGTAGCATTACCTTCTTGCGTTGTGGCATAATATTGTTGGGTCGTTATAATTTCCACCGTGTAACATAAAAATAAAACTAAAACGTAAGCGGAGACTACGATCACTACAGACGACAAAGACAAAAAGCGGATTTTTACGTAAGGTAAAGCGTAGCAGCATTGTACTAGTAAACGACTTCTTACATTTGACAGCGAACCTTCAAAACGCGTACCTTCCTTCGCGCAACCATCGATGAAAATGGCGCAACCGCTTCTGTATCAAATGCAAATATGTCTGGGTCTGGAAGAGTGTAAACTTGTCATGCAGGTTTTCCATGATTCGTGAGATCTGGAATGCGGGACCTAGCATGACAGAGTCTGCGAGGTCTCTGCCATGCCTATCCTGCATGAGAAACTCCCTCCAAAATTGGTCGAAAGTGGACAGCTTTTGGCACTCATGCAACACAGATTTCTACATGATTCAGATTCAGCATGACAAGTTGCATTCTTCCAGCCCCAGACATTTTTGCAATCCATATTCTGCACCAGGTTCCGATCCAGCTGCAGGCGGGGCAGCGCGACGCGGCCCCCTTATCCTGAGTAAAAACGTCCCCACGCCATAGTTGTCATGCAGATTGGCAACGACAAGCAAACTTGTGATGCGCATCCCCATGAAATGCATTTTCAATCGTGTTTTGAAATTTGTGATGCTGTAAACAGGATGAGCAGCTGGGTTTGTAATGCGGATGACCTCGCTAACCTGAACTACACTACGAGCGGCAATTTGTCATGCGCTACAGCCACAACTTCTGGATTTGTGTTGCGAGATCCCCATCTTGACTCTGGGGTGGGCACGCTTTTGCTCAGGATATCCCTTGGAGTACTGGAACTCGGATTACTTCAGCGCTGGCGGGGAAATATCCGGTGCAAAGGCATCGTACTGGTACAACTACCGATTGCAGTTCTGCAAGACAAATTAGCTTTTTCATGCTAAATCAGCATGAGAAATTCCATTTGTCATGCTGAGCCAATTTGTAATGCAATTCATACTAGTACGATGCTTTTGCAATTCATAGGAAAATGCCGGCACTGATTTCGCCAACCTGAATGACGCGAATTGGCGGACGCAGACCAAGGAACAGCACAACGGGTTTTCGCATCACCAGGCCATGCAGATGCTGGGAAAAGAAAACTACATGAACAATCTGTACTACAACAATAATAACATGGTCGCGATGATGGGGAAGAGCTTGGTCCTATCAACCGCAAATATGTCATCTCGGTGGTGTGGAAATTTGTGATGCTGAGTCGTCATGATTGAGTGCGCCTTTAAGTAGTCCAGTGAAGCATGACAAACCTTTGGAGCGCTTTCGCATGCGTAGTGCGCATCACAAACTGCGTCGACTGTGCATGACGAAAGTTTGGCGCTTTTGCTGCTTTTATGCAATACACATTTCGCAGGAGTGTAAGACTAGCATTACAAGTTCCACCTTTCGTCCAGACCCAGATCGATATTTGCAATGCATAAGTCCCTGCCGACGCCAATTCTGGCGGCAACATGCAGAATTACTGGCCGGATACGCCTTCCACGGCTATCAAAAGTAAAAATCCCTCCTCTCCATATGAAGCCGAAGTTTCTGATGCTGGATTTGCGTACACAAATCAGATTTGTCTTGCTGGAGAGGACTTCTATAGGCCTATACTAAGACTGAGTAGATGTTTTGGGCTGGACGCTGAGCATGGCAAATGTCTAGTCTGTAGGGCCAACAGCATTACAAACCGCCTGCAGAAGATTGCGGCGGAGCCGGTGGAGTTGCGTTTTTGCAAGACAGAGACGATTCGTGGTCACAAATCTGCATTGCAAATTTTCTGAGACATACCTTTTCGATACGGGGAGGGGGGATTTTCCCTTACGATAACGGCGGCCCCGTCGTCCCCCATCAGTCGAGGCATCACGGTGGACAGTGCCGCCGGTGGTCCTTTTGGCAACATGAATGGAGGTGGTTTCTACGGTCCTAATTTCGACGACAGTCCGATGATATCAAATGCAAAAATGTCTGGGCCTGGAAGAATGCAAGACTTGTAATGTAGATGTTTCATAACCCATGACGTCTGGCATGTAGGACCTAGCATGACAGATTCTGTGAAACAGCTATCATACCTATCCTGCATGAGAAACTGCCGCTGAACTTGTTCAAAAGTGGACATCTTTTGGTAATCACGCAACACAAATTTTTGGCACGATCGAGATTTAGCATGCCAAGTTATATATAACCTTCCAGACCCAGACATATTTGCAATGCATAAATGAATGGGACGAACAACGCCTTCCTGAACAATCGATCCATTTCGTGGGACGACAATGTGAATACCTCGATGTTTAGCGACAACCCCTTCAGTATCAAATGCAAATACGTCTACATCTAGAAAAATGTAAACTTGTCATGCAATCTTCTCTCCATGACCCACGAGGTCTGGAATGCGGGACCTAGCATGACAGACTCTGTGAGGTGGTCTCTGTCATGCCTAGTATCCTGCATGAGAAGTGTCCTCCCAACTTCGTCGAAAGTGGACAGCTTATTTTGGCACTCATGCAACACAGATCTTTGCACGATCCGGATATAGCATGACAAGTTGCATCCTTCCAGAGGACCCAGACAGGTTTGCAATGCATATTCAGCAACGGGCAGATCATGATCCAATTGGTCCCGAACAAGGACCAGCTGCGGCAGTCCATGATGAGCAAAGAGTCCATATCCTGTGCAAAAGTATCGTACTCGTATTGCAATCATGCATTACAAATCCTTTTGTTAAAGGTAAATCAGCATTACAAATTTTATTTCTCATGCTGAGGAAATTTGTAATGCATTTATACGAGTACGATACTTTTGCAGTTCATAGTCCATGGCGTCCAACAAATCGGGCCGGTCGGACGGCACGAAGATCTACGACGAGGAACACGACTTTGGTCTGTGCGACTTTTACGGGAAGATGTTCCGGATGTGCAAGGTATGACAGTGCACAACTCCTCCTCCCCCTTATTTGTCATGCAAAACCCCAGTTCCAGTCGCTGCCCTGTGGCACTGTTTGCATGACAAATTTATTCAAAAGCCCAAACAGTACCATACAGTAGGTACATAAATTTGTCGTGCACAGGCTCCAGGGTCGCTGGCGTTTGTAATGCTGTTGTATGTACTTATGCAATACAAATGCGGGGGAGGGGGAGTTGTGCGCTGGCATACAAGGAACTCGGGTTTGACAACGAGAATTGCCAGCAGCAGTTGGCTATCAAATACAAGTATGGGTCTGGGAGATTGATTGCGAGATTTGTCGTGCTAGTCTGGCAGGACTCTGAACTCTGTATTGCGCCGTGGCCGCGAAGAGCTCCGCTCGCCTGTCATGCAAAAACGCAGTTTCTCATGCGGAGTACGCTACTCAGAAGCAGAACCACGGAAAAACTTGTCATGCTTGGCAGCGCATTACAGTGTAGTCACTATTTTCCCCGTCCTTGCATCACAAGTTTCCAGACCCAAACATATTCGCAATGCATATTGGCCCACAAGACCGGCGGTGGCACTTTCTTCCACTACGCGGCGAAAAAGAATAACAAGCCTCTCTTCGACTACCTAGTGCTCAACCTGGACGAAACGATTATCAAGCAGCAGGTGCACGTGATCGACGATTTCGGCAAGAAGGCCATTGATTTGGCGAACCCGAAGAAGAAAAACTCGCTCTTCGAAGAGTTCTCGGCCCTGATGGTCAGTTTTCCGGCGGAAGACATCGATTTTTCGAATCCGGCGAACGAACAGGTTTTCGCGAAGGAGTGGAAGTACCAGTTGCAGAAGAATCCGGAGTTGCGCAAGAAGCTGGAAGCGGCTAAGAAGGCGCAGGCCCAGAGCAAGCTGGACGACGGCGCGAACAGCAATGACCTCCTGGATGAGAAATCCTATCAAATGCAAAAATGTCGGGGTCTGGAAGGTTGGAACTTGTGATGCTAACTTCGGTCTCTAAAAGACTCTGTATTGCATGACCAGCAAAAGCAGGGGTCTAGTTTGTGCTACGCGGGGAGGGCGTTTGTCATGCGGAGTAGGCATCAGGAAGCCGTCTAAAAATCTGTGATGCTAGGGCGTGCATTACAGACGTCCTGGGTCATGCAAAACATGCATGACAAGTCTCAGAATCTTCTAGACCCAGACACTTTTACATTTGATAAATCCGGCATGCCTTCTAACGTGGCCGGCCAGGATATGAAACTGCATAACTCCCCCTCGTTCTCATTTCTCATGCAAAATCCCAAATCAAATTGGTTTCTCGCGTCACTATCATGCATCACAGATTCCGGACAGCGCCCAAACAGTACTATTTACACTAGGCACATGAATTTGTCATGCGCAGGGGGCTCCACTCGTGCAAGTGTTTGTATTGCTGTTCATGCAAAATCAAAAATACAGATGAGGGGGAGGGCGAGTTGTGCACTCTCATACAGGAGAAAGTAATCAAGGCGAGTGACATCATGTCTCCGTACGAAGCCGTATGCAATGCAAAAGCATCGTACTAGTATCAATTGCATCACAAATTAGCCCAGCATTACAAATTCAATTTGTAATGCGGATTTACCTTGAGAAAGAGATTTGTAATGCATAAATGCAATTACTACGAGTGCGATACTTTTGCACAGGATAAGCCGAGGAGCTGGTGCCGGCGGAGTACAAGAAGTGCTTCAAGATGCTCAACAACCAGGGCTGGAAGGCACTCGACAACAAGTGGCCCAACAACGGACAGACCATTTTGCACTACGCGGCGAAAACGGGGAAGGAAGACCTGTGCCACTTCTTAATCCTCCACTACGGAGCCGACCCGGAGCAGAAGTGCCACCACGGTCACGACGCCGCCTGGTACGCGAAGTCAAAGAAGCACCGGCTGCTGGCCAAGAAACTCTATTTCCGCTTTTTGAAGGAGGTCAAGTAAAGTAGGGCTTCTTTCGTTAAGCGCTGTAGTAGTTGCGGAAAAACGTAGTTGTAGCGGTCTTCTTTTATTCTTCTGCTCTTCCTCCAAAATTGTACAATAGGTTTCTCGCTACTAATATTTTTTCTGAAATGCAAATGTTTGGAATTCTAGCTGAATACCTCCTACCACAAGTGACTTTACTTTATTTCCATGAACAAACTTCATCTCAGCCAGTTCTGTACTTGTTTTGTTTTTCTATTTTTAACGTAAGATGACTGTCATCATAAAGCGGCCTACCAGCACGTATTTAATAGTCCAAACTCATTCAATAGATGCACTTTAGTCATGAAACCTCTCTCCTTTTCGAGTAAGTCTACTTCGGGAGAGCACGGGTTCGGAAGTCGAGGAAGTCTCACGACGACTCGGAGTCTATAGTATCTGTAGGAAATCTGGTGCATTCACGACCAGCTAGTATTATAGAAGAAGTGTCGATGTTTGTCAGAAGTCAATAGGGAAGAAATTCCGGTTATTTTTACCAACATACAATTCATAGACGATGACGATCCACAGTAAATTGAAACCTTTTATTCCACGGCGATCAAATCCTGTCTCACAAAACCTTTCATCGTGGGAAGATTTTTTGAAAAATGTTTCACCTGTGTAACCAAAATATTTCTGTGCCGTTATGTGGACAGGATATTGAAAAGTAGGAACGTAACGACTCTATATAAAAAACTAAAAAGCATGTCATGCCACGACTGTGGTACGCAACAATGGTTGTGGCCCAGGTCGCGAAGAGGTACGTAGCATGGCAGAACTAGCATCACAAGCTGACAAACACGAAACGCGAACTACGAACATTTGTGGTTTTTGTCCATCATCTCAACCGTAGTGAGTCTATTACTATTCGATAATTACAATTAGCATCACAAACAAGTAGGATATTCAAAATTAGCATTACAAATTCTGATCCCCGGTCATGATCCAGCATTACACGTAGGTGGTCGATGAGAGTTTTTGACTTGAAAGTTAGCAAGTCAGTAGCCACCGCATCACGACAGGAAGGAATTATGTCGATCAATTGCGTTGTGGCAAAATCAAAAAATTTGATCGAGGATGAAAAAGAAACACGGAAGGAGCAGCAGTTGAAAATAAATTTCTATCCCTTGTACCAAAAGCTTATGATGACAAAAAAACTATATATTTATACCATGCAGACGAGACAGTTGCTGAAAGAATCCGCAGCTGTTTCCTCGTCTGCAGTGCTGACAGCAGCTAGCCGCCGTTGCAGCTACGCTATACCTAGCCTACAGTGACAGCGGCTATGCAGGCTAGGTCGTCTACCGTTGCTCCTGCTGCAACTGCGGCCGGCTGCTCTGCTCTTTCACGACTAGTACACGAAGATGAATGCGATGCGAAAGCTAAAATCTCGCTCTGTTCCTTGCGTCAGCCGCGGGTTGTGCCGTTCTTCTCCTTGTTCGATGATTGCATGTAGAACAAGTTCGTTCTCATCTGTTGGAATATGTTGCGTCAGGACTGTCGCAGTGTTGCTGAATTTGTGGTTAAGGCTATAGGCCTAGAGTAGAGTAGAAGTGTATGTCCTCGACCTCGTCCGACTTCCCCCGGTTTGTTCTTCTAGCTATTCACAGAAATGAGAAAATGACGCTGTTGTAGGCGATGCTGATGCAGGAGCTTGTGCTTGGCGAAAAATCAATATACGCAATGGGCGAAGACAACAACACCTGTTAATCGGCCGCTTCTTGAGGAGGATGCCAAAGCAACTACTTCTCGACGGTTCAATCAAAATGCGCTATGGAGTTGTGCCGGTTCGAAGAGCAGGTGATAATGAACCATTATGATCGACATAACCGCACCTCTACTGTAATTCTTCTCCTTCCCACCACAACTTCGTCCACTCGAAGAAGAGCAACACGGTTTCAGGCTACGGATGCAGGATCAACATGATCATAAAAATCGTTTCTGCACTCCATGTATAAATAGCCCAACGAACTTTTAAAATCGCTATCGCAGTTGCAGCATGCAGGAGGAAGATGGACATTTGATTATGGGTTGCACAGTCCTATTCTCAAAATACTACCTGCTCCTCCGATAACCTTCACTTGCGATGAGATCACCTACTACATCAAGGTCAATGTCAGTGAGTCTGGTGAATCACCAGACTCACGTATATGCGTGTTGGAAATGGATTGTATATGATTTTGAATCCGTATACGTATAGCATGCTGAAGTTTAAAAGTTTGCGAAACCGACAAAAAAAAACGAAAAACAAAAGCAAAAACGCATAAAAAGCTTTTCAGCATGGTGTCACGTCTTGACACTCGGCTAGCGGAGGGGGGGCGGAGGGCAAGTTGCAGTCGATTAGACCCAGAATTAGCTGCGGATAGTACTAAAAGTGCAAAGCGCTTACTTTTTGAAAGCAGACGCCATCTATTATCACACTTCTGCTACCAGCACGGCACTGCGATTCTGCATGTGCCGTCTACACCCTCCGCTACCCCTCCGCAGTTGCTGCGCATGTTCCTCATAGCATGCTGAATTTTGAAAACTTGCAAGACCGACAAAAAAAGCGAAAAACAAAAGTAAAAACGCATAAAAAGCTTTTCAGCATGGTATCACCTCTTGCCACTCGCTTAGCGGAGGGGGGGCGGAGGTCAAGTTGCAGTCGATTAGACCCAGCATTAGCTGCGGAGAGTACTAAAAGTCAAAAGTGTTTACTTTTTGGCAGCAGATGTCGTTTATTATTAAATTTCTGCTACCAGGACGGCACTCGCACTGCGATTCTGCATGTGCCGTCTACATCCTCCGCTACCCCTCCGCAGTTGCTGGGCATGTTCCTCATAGCATGCTGAATTTTGAAAACTTGCAAGACCGACAAAAAAAGCGAGAAACAAAAGTAAAAACGCATATAAAAGCTTTTCAGCATGGCATCACCTCTTGACACTCGCCTAGCGGAGGGGGGGCGGAGGGCAAGTTGCAGTCGTGTAGACCCAGAATTAGCTGCGGATAGTACTAAAAGTCGAAAGTGCTTACTTTTTGGCAGCAGATGTCGTTTATTATTAAACTTCTGCTACCAGGACGGCACTGCGATTTTGCATGTGCCGTCTACACCCTCCGCTACCCCTCCGCAGTTGCTGGGCATGTTCCTCATAGCATGCTGAATTTTAAAAGTTTGCGAAATCGACAAAAAAAGCGAGAAACAAAAGTAAAAACGCATATAAAAGCTTTTCAGCATGGCATCACCTCTTGGCACTCGCCTAGCGGAGGGGGGGCGGAGGGCAAGTTGCAGTCGTGTAGACCCAGAATTAGCTGCGGATAATACTAAAAGTGCAAAGTGCTTACTTTTTGAAAGCAGATGCCATATATTCTTACACTTCTGCTACCAGGACGGCACTGCGGTTCATCTGCATGTGCCGTCTACACCCTCCGCTGCCCCTCCCCCTCCGCAGTTGCTGGGCATTTGCCCCAAGGCACGACTAATTTGCAAAAAAAAACTGAAAAAATAAAAATACAAGACCGACGCATATACAATCCATTTCATCCAACATAGTTCATCACCGTGATCCATTTCCAACATAGTGCATCTCCGGCTGGCAGTTTATAGAAATTACACACCTTGACATGCAGAAATGGCACTAGTAGTGCGAGGCGCTCAAGATGAACACTAATTCGCAAAAGTCGAAATCGAAAAACCTTTTTTGACTTCTCATCGCCCAAACTGATCTTGCCTGTGAAAATCATCTGCTTCTTTTCACGAAATGCAATTAGAATCGCTTCGTAACAAAAATCTACTCGTAAGTATCTAGTCGCTTTGTCGGATCGCCTCTCGTCGTCGTGGCATCGTCTCAGCACCACTCTATGTGTTTCAATAAAGACAATCGTTTTTTCAACATCGCTTCAGGCACGGGCAGTTGTGGTTGCGGTATATTGGCGACCATTGTTTCAGTACGTAGACATAGCCCTAGATAATTCTATTCCTCCAAGAGATGACTGCCTTTGACAGCCTGCAATGTTTCTGGAGTTTAGTGTATGATGAGTAGCACAACTTGGAAGCTCTTTTATTGTGGTCTCTCAACATTGTTTTAATTATCGATATACGGGTTATGAATCTAGAGAAGAAGAACCGCTTTCACTTTTCACCGTTTCATTTTTCCAGATATGATAAGTAGATGCCGGACGAGCAGAAAAAATTTTGTAAGACACTCAGCATCCACCCCACCGGTTTCAGTTTCTTTCAGCACGCAATAAATTCATAGATAAAGAAATGCTCTGCGACTTTCCATCTTTAGAAAGGAGTTTATTTGTACAATTGAAGAACCCACCGAGACCGACACGTCGCATGGAGCAGTTGTATCTACCTTCGAGTCGAGAAGAGGCCAACACCAAACCCGCACGGAGCACAAGCTTGTTGCTCATCTGAAGGCGTTTTCACAATCTCGTAGCCGCGGGTGGAGACGATCCGAAGAGCGCGAGAACAGGCTGAAAGACGCATCCGGGACGAGCAGTCCTCTTCACGAGGATCGCATTTTTGCGCATGCAGTTGTAGTATCTCATCCGCCGCCCCGAAAAGGGTTTGCGAGTATTTCTTTCGACGAGTAAAAGTTGTATAATAAATAACGAACGGCAGAACATCGACATCGACAAACGGAGCGACACCCCTTTATTTTTACCTACTTAAAATCCAGTGACTGGTGTTCCCTCTGACTGTGGCGCAACCTGGCCCCTATGAGCGACGACCGGCGCAACCACCATTTCAACGACAATCCCCCACGACCCGCGATTCCATCTGACCAACGTAAAAATTTTAACCCTCACCATCCAGATCCGCACGGTGCCATAGAGCCATGTGGAGCTACTAATCCCGCCCGCGACTTAGCAGAGCCGGGTAACAAGAATAGACGCTTCGAAAATAACCGTGCGCGCTTCGTTCAAGAAGAGCATGACGTACCCAGCTACCCTTTACCCGTCGCCCCCGTCCCTACACAAGCAACGTCGGCGTTGCATACTGCGACCACATTCGATTTCGAACCGAAAGTTTGTCATGCACAGGCCGCAAATGCTGGAGCCGACGTGGGACAACATACACCGGGAAGAGGTGTCCGAGAAGAGGCAGCGTATGAGCGGCAAGCGGCACGAGACGTTGTTGGGCCACGTGACCCTCGCGCCCATGAACGAAATAACGCGACGTCGTACGACGGCATAGTGAACACCACTTTGCCCACCGGTAATTATGGAAGCTCGTATTACCAAGACCAAAACGATGCCAGGAGACCGGCAGCGACAAGTACGATTGAGGATGATGTGATATTAAGAATCGATGTAGGTGGTGGAACTCCTCCTCCTGCGCGGCGCCCTGGCCCCGGCCAAGTGGAAATCCGGCCTGCGGCGACACGAGATGACCTTGACCAATATTCGTCCTACAATCCGAACAGGGAGACCCCCTCCGAGAGATCTTATTCCGTGGCTGCTCCCAGGGTCAGACATGATGTTGAGGACCATGCGGGCCTCACTGATGCCTATCGCGACAACAAGCACAAGAACTCCCGCCCAGGCACAGGACGGCTGGAACAAAACAGGGAAACCAGTTTCGACAGCAATGCCGACTGCGAAAATGTTGACACACGGCCCGCCACACCGCAGGAGCGACACCAAAATGCTGGGCAAAACGATCAGCAGCCTCAAGGACTGCAAGACTTCGTCTACCAGGCGGATTTGCCAAAAGTGGCTGTGGTTGGTACACGAAGCAGTAACGACCTACAGCGAAATGTGGAGTCAGTGCTTCACCAGAATCAAGAAGAGGCTCAGCCTGAAGCGGAGAAATATGGACGTCGCGGCTTTCATATCAGAAATCCTCGTGACACTACCAGCTCTGGAGGGTGCAGCCACGACACCAAGGCCGAAATCCGCCACGCGCCTATCGTCCCGGAGGATTCTGCGCCGATAGCTTCCAGACGCGCGGAACAAAAGGTCGAGACTCCTCCCGCGCCTGATGGCATCCTCCGCGGTGTTTCCGATCGCCGTTCTTATGCTGAGGTTGTTTCCACCCCCGCGGGCTGCAGCACGATTCCCGTCTACGGCCGCCACAACGCCCCTTTTCTCAATTCACCGAGCGACCTACCGGAGTATTTCAACGACGAGGACTGCCGGACTTCGTACCGGGAAAACGACTCGCTACTCTCCACGGCTGCGTTTATCCAGCGGAGAAACATCGCCGTGACCGCCACCGCCCGCGTTGGCCCCGGCATGGTCATCTGCATGGGGGAACACGTCGTTGACAGCCATCACGTGGACTTCAACAAGCCGACTATATTGCTCGAAGTTGTGAAGCGGATCGGGAAGGGCGGGTCGGCGGAGGTGTTCGAGTGCGTTGATCTGCGAACGTGTGTCGCAGATGGAGGATCGACTACTACGACCTCGGCAACGGCGGGAAGTCGTGGGGGCAACTATAGCTGCAATTATGATGCGTCGCGAAGTGGTCAGCCCAATGGAAGCAGCAGCAGTGCAAGTCGAACCAACGAGCAAGGTTCTCAGTTATCCGTTACCCGCTACGCACTCAAAGTCGTCTATGCTCGGGACGCGAGGCAAATGCGCTCCTTCGCCATGGAGGTAAACTGGCTGCGGGCTTTGCGGGACAAGAATCGAGCAGCGAAGGCCGGAACTAGTGCCCAGAATGGTAGACACAACGCGGTGGACGAGCTCCGGGTAGTGAAGATGATCGGCGAAGCGAAATTTTTTCCAAAAGATTTGGTGATCCACATTTTGCTGGAATTCGCGGACTGTGGTATGGGGTGGAATAATGCTTGCGTTGGTTTGTTTGATAGAGATAGTTAAGTTTTTCTGATTCTAAACCGCGATTAAGAAGATGGCATGCATGATGTGTGCGGCAAGAAGCAGCTTGTGCATATTCATTGACTCGTAGGAGTCGTGCAGCCGCAGGCGCATGTAATTTGTCATTTCCATTTTGTACCACGTGATAGATGAGCATGACAAAATATCCTCTCCATCGGACAACCAACGCACCTCCTTTCCCCTCCGATACCCAACCTGCACTCCTTTCTTCGGAAAAACTACGAAATCTTTTCTATCTACGACATCCGCAATCTCTGGCGCGACATGGTCGCTGGCGTCGCGGCCATCCACAGTCTCGGGTTGATCCACTTTGATCTCAAACCGGCGAATTTCCTCATCGTGGACAACATCGTGAAGGTCTCTGATTTCGGCCTCGCGAGGGGGATCAACAAGGATGAGGGGATCACCCACGTTTCCCGCGACCGCCAGTGCGGCACGCCCCGCTACATGCCGCCCGAGGCTTTTTACCAGCCGGACGAGGGGTCCGCGAGTTTGAAGATGCGCCCGGCGGCTGATGTTTGGTATCCTGAGTAAAAACGTACCCACACCAGAGTCAGGATGGGGATTTTGCAACACAAACCTAGGAGTTTTGTGAGTCACGCATGACAAGTTTCACTTTGCAGTGTAGTGCAGGTTAGCAAGTGCAGCCGCATCACAGATTCATCTGCTCATCCTGTTCACAGCATCACAAATTCCAAAACACGATTGGAAATGGCTCTCATGCCGAGGCGCATTACAAGTCTTCCTGTCTTTGCAAATCTGCATTACAACTCTGGCGTGGGTGCGTTTTATTTTCCTCAGGATGTTTGGGCCCTGGGGATCATCCTATATCAATTGCTGTACGGGCGGGCGCCGTACGAGCATTTAGAGGGCTGCGGGATGCGGGCGCAGTTCGCCGTGGCGGATTCCCGGGTGCGAATTCTGTATTCGAGGTCCCGCAGGTGGGAAGAGCAGGACGCCGCGCTATTCGGCCATCTGGTATCATTACTGCAGGTCACGCTGCGGTGGCGGTGGGAAAGGCGGTGGGACGCGCAGACGGTGCTGAAGTATTTGGAGACGCCAGAAGGAGATGATCTTCAGAATGATTTTGCGAGTTTGCAGCCAGGCGAAGTAGGTCGTGGTGGAACTACCAGCAAGAAAAGACATCAGAAGCTGCTGCTGAAAACACCGAAGAACCTGGTCAATGAAGAAGACATGAAAGGGAAGACGACGAAATGGAAGGGCCGCCGGCTTTCAGACATTTACGAAGAGGAATACATCGATCAGACGGCGTTTTTACCGCTTTTGGCGAAACAAGAGAGCTACTCCTACAGCTCGACGACTGCTCTCGGCACTCTTACAACCGGTGGTGCGGAACAAGTGGAGCTCTTGAAACGACGCCAGGACGACGGCGCTGCGCAGGATGAAAATCACGGCGGCGATGCGGATCAAATGCAGAAAGCCGACGGGAAGTCGGCTTGCGAAGGAAGGAAAATGAAAAACGGTATTATTAACCGAGATTGTGGAAACGAACCGCCAGAAGAGCACGAGCCAGAGCTGGTGTCATCCTCTGAGGAGGAGGTGGATGAGATAAATGCTCAGGAACTACCTCCTGAAAGGGAAAGAGCCGAGAATGCCTCTCTGTCACATCAGCAGCAGCAGAAGGCGCAAGATGACACAGGAGGAGATTTTGCTCCTGCTTCCAGGAACAAAACCGCATGTTTGGCATCTGCGACACGGACTTTCGACGAGGAAGCGCAAAGAGACACGACGAGGACACCAACTCTATTTGCATGTGAAGATGCTGTTGACCCCGACGGCCTTTCGCAAAACAAATTTCGCCCCGTGATAGAGGATCCCTCCTCATCGTCAACATCCTCCGCGGGCCCCTGTGGCGCTTTTTTGGCCTCTTCGCTCTCGACCATCATCATCACCATCGTCGCTGTTTGTCTTCTCGCTGGCGCTACTGGCTTGGCAGTGCATATGGGCAACGTTAGCGAGGCGAACAAACAAAAAGCAGAGCTGGGTTCTGTGGACGGTGATGCGCATAATCCGTTTGGCGGCTTCGGCGGCGGGTATAAGCCGAATATTCTAGTGCCGACAAGAATCTTCAACGGGGATGGAGGTGGTGGTAGCGGTGGTGATTCACGTGGAGGAAACCCTACCGGTCCACCAACAGCCATCGGCAATGATGGTCCTCAGGGAGGTGGGCACGCAGACACAACAGCTCCACCTCCGCAGCACCTCCAACCGCTTTCTCTTCCTACTCAGAGCTCCCCTTCATCCGTGCTCTCGAGCTTGTTACCCCCAGGACCCGCTTACGCCCCGGAGTTTCTAGCGCCGGCGAAACCAAAGCCAAAACCCGCAGCTCCGACCCCTGGTGGTGCAGCAGGACCGGCACCAGCACCGGCCGCTCCCGGGCCTGCTGCACACGTTGCAGGGTCTGTTTCCGCTACTGCTGCACCAGGAGTGGTTCCTGCTGCTGCGGTGCCGGCTCGGCCGGCAGCTCCTGTTCCACCGACGGCGGCTTCGGCTGCAAGTCCGGCAACTGCAGCTAGTCCTGCAGCTGACCCGGGTGCTGCAGAAGCTCAAGCAAGACAGGCACCAGCAGCAGGAGCTGAGTCGCCGTCATCTTCTGCTCCGCCCGCGTCACTGCCTGATCCCCCGGAAAGTGCTGATCAGACGGATAGTACGAGTGGCAGTAGTCCCAGCACCGGGCAAACAACGAGCAGTGCTGAACAAAACCACGCAGCGGGGGCACAGCAAAGGACAAGAGAAGGCGAGGAAAACAACCAGTCGCCGCAAACTACCAGCCTTCATCAGGATGATGAGCTACAGCAAGGCCAAGAACCTCTCCACTCTGCTGCCACATCAAGTGTTCCTGCGCAGCAGGGGTTGCCGCAGCAAGACGGAACAGAAGCCGCGCAACTGCGACCGCAAACAGGCACTTCCGACAGTGCGGAACAGTCCACGACGGCTGCGAGTAGTGATTCGGGTTGTGGCGTTGCTGTTGGAACTGACCAGTCGTCAGCTGCGGGTAGTGGCAGGACCGATCTTTTGGACCAACGTTCAAGTAGCTCAAGCACAGCCACCTCAAATCCGATTCTGGACAACCAGAGCGGCTCTGCGCAAAGTGCTTCTGGTACTGGAAATGGCAATCATGTGGAAGAAGAAATTGTTCCTGGTTCCTCAACATCCACTGGGACTGCCGGCGCAGCGGGCAGTGAGATTCAATCTAGTCGCGATGAGGTCGTTGCTGCTCCGCAAACTTCAGCTTCGAATCCAGCAGCACCTGAAGGAGGTAGTGCTGACCAAGAGCCGCGACCGAAACCAGGTCCGCGTGCCCCTTCCGGGGGAGCTTCATCCGGACTGGATTCTGCTTGCGATGGCGGGGAAGTTGTTCTGTCCAATACCGGAGATTCTCCCACGACACCTGGCGCTGAAGGAGACGTCAGACGACTGAGAGAACATGGACGCGATGCGGATCTCCCTGTCCCTGATGCTCCAGCACGGGGAAGGCGGGGTGCGGAGGACGATGTCTCTTCTATCGGGACAAGCAGGTCGCTGTCGCCACCCGGCGGACGTCGCCACGACCGCGACGCATCTCCAGATCCGGGTGCCCGTCGCGGCGCACCTACAGGCGGTAGTGGCGATGACGATAATCAAAGCGGTCGTGCAGATGATGGTGCGAGAAATTGTGATGATGACGCCAATTTGTCGGTTTGCGGTTATGACGACCAATTTGACTTTAATGATGAGGATTTTGGAGACGCGGGCTCATCTTCTTCCCACGATGGGGAAGAAGATGATCAAGACGAACAAGGAGTTGGCAGCGCTTCTGAAAATCCGCCCGAGCCGACGTCGGAGACCGGGCGCGGAGAAGAGGACCTCCACCGTAACGCGGCCTCGCCCGCTGTTGCAGCCAATGACAACCTATCGACAGACACTGTTCTACTTGGCCCTCTCGCCGCACAGGGCTCCAGCTCCTCAAGCTCATCTTCGGCACGGCAGGACGCGGCAGATGATGTAGTCGGCACGCAGGCCGCAGAAGGCCTCGGTAGCCACGACCCACAAGCGCTTGCTGCGCTAGATCATGATTTGTATTCCAACGTTCCAGATCTGAAGACCCGGCAAGATCACGGGATAAGCTGCGAAGACCTCTTCTTAGAAGTGCTGCACGAGCAGGTCGAGGGCAACAGGAAACCTGGAGATTTCTGGAACGCAGACATTGATCTTACGTGGGACCATCTCGCGGTAGCAAATCAACTCTTGGCAGAACAGTGGCCACTACATCCGACTGAGGCACGTTTCGATTCTGATACGTGGAAGGTAAAGTTCTTGTTTTACTAACGCTGCAGTGCGCGAATAGCAGTGAAGCCTAGCGTCTAACGCAGTGCTCGTGCGATTGCGTGATCGATGGCGCTACCTTCTTTGAGTACTCGATTCGACATAGAGAAGCAAATTTGAAACACACTAATAAATCAGGTCAGTACAATCATGGCGATGATGCCGTTCTGCAAGGTCAATACTACTGAATTATTGCATCCGCAGTACCATCAGCTGAGGTCACGCCACTGGCCATCTGTGGAAGCGACGGTCTACGGTGCAGAGCGTCTGCGGTCGGGTTGCGTGCCGGAAGACAAGGAATTTTTTATCAAGGTGTGGAACTTTTTAGGGGAAGCAAGCGTGTCTATCCACTTTCTATCTCAGGGCCCACGATTCTTGGCAGACTGTTTTGCATCCCGTTCGTCCAGCTGCTCGTTACTTACTAATGGGGCTCCCATATTTACTAAGCTGGTGACAGGCCGTCAATGCTGACGTTGTATAGTAATTTGTTATCTGAAAGAACGGAAAGAGCACGGGCGCTCCCGTTGGCACTGCAGGATTGTGGGACGCCTGGAAGAAATGATGGAGCTTTTCCTTTCGATATTGCTTTCACGAACGCTTGCCAGACACACCGAACCACAGTGGCCCAGACGTCGTTCAAGGCAAGCCAGTTGTAGTCTGGGATGATCCGTTCGGCGTGTCGTCCCGCACCGCAATAAACACTGACGGTCCGTATGTTCTGAATGATTTTGTTATGGGTACCGGCCCGGATACAGATCCAGCAGCTCTGGCAGAGGGGACGAGGAAGCATCTTGTGCGAGAGGAGCGGTGCCGGATCGGCATGGTCACAGAGTACTTGTTCCAAAGCATGCGAGTCGTGGACGAATTCGAGGCCCGAAACTTCAGAGGAGCGTCTTACGGTATTTCATTGTAGTGTTGCGGAATACAATATAGAAGGCCCTGAACACGCGAAGAATTCTTTTAACCGCCACTGCTTAGTGATTCATGAACAGGTCCAGCAGGACACCGAACCTGTTTCTGTAATAGTCACAACTTACTAATTCCTGCCAACATGATATATCGTAATATATTTTACCGTATCAACGACCACAGGTTATTGCCTGAACCCGCATCCCCAGCCCAGGGATCTGCCAAATTCGGAATGGCCAGAGGTGTTGCTGCTCGACGCAAAGTATATTTCCGGGGAACTTTCATATAATATGCCGCAGGTATGTCCTATAAACCAGCATTGGCATTACCATTTTCAAAAAGAGTTCCAGAAGCGGGCAGACTTTTGGCGGCTCCGGTCCTCGGGCACAGGCGCCGAGTGGTCGTATGCGCACTTTCGCTGGACATGGATCTGGGCACGCTATAGGGACTTTCCGCCGTTTATCCGAGGTGAAAACTCGCTCCGGTTCTCCAGCGTCCGCAGTTTCCCCGGCTTCGAATCCGAGTATGGCAGAAATGTTACGACTGGATGAAAAGTAGGGGAAGATATACGTCCTGCATTCTTGGGGACTGCGTTGGAAAGTTCATGTTACCGCTTAAAGCCCTGCTTTCTCGATGCCGGCTCGCTTCCTTTCTATGCGTAATTTCGAATAATATGAAGCCGGGTCGCT